CTCCCACGGCCCCTGGGAAGCTGGTGGAACCGCACTAACCACCCAGACGGCTTGGCTTTCTCGATAGCCTGCGAACCAGAGTGCAAGGGCGAGAGGGGCGAGAGCAGCTGTTGTCAGGATAAGATAAGAACCTATAGGTAAGCGGCCCCTGTGAGGCTCCCATGGCCCCTGGGAAACCGGCGGAACTGCGCGAACCACCCAGAGGAACCACCCAGACAGCTTTGTCCACAGCCTGCGAACCAGAGTGCAGCCCCAAGCACAACTATCACCCGAAGGGGAAGGGCGAGAGGGGCAAGAGCAGCTGTAGTGTTGCTTTCTCCTCACTCCTGGTAGCGAAATCCTCATTTTAAACATAAGAGGACACATTATTTTAAAAAGCCGTTACGTGTCTCCGTACCCTTTCTGAGTAGAGCTGAACAAGTCATGAGAGACCTTTCCAAACACAGGGAGGGACACGTAGAGGATGGAAATAGCTACATTTTCCATGTGTATGACCTTTGACCCGGCGACAAAAAGCGTACACCTATGGTTGAGGACAGTGGGGGGTAAGAGCAGAGGGTGGGGTGGTAACTGGGTGGAGGGGAGCTATGGGGGAAAAAAGGGGAACAACTGTAATAATCTGAATAATAAAGATTTAAAAAAAAAGAACCTATGGGTAAGTGGAAAGTGTTTGCCATTTAGCAATGATTGCTGCACTGGATTTTCCAGGATGATGCCAACATCATGCATCCTTAAACAACTGAATGTGAAGCAGGACAGCCTAGTAATTCATGGGTTCTGGAATTAGACTGCTTGCACTTGAATCTCAGTTCTGCCAGTTATTAGCCATCGAATCTTTTTTTAAATTATATTTTTATTGATTTTTTAAAATATATTTTATTGATTTTTTACAGAGAGGAAGGGAGAGGGATAGAGAGATAGAAACATCAATCAGCTGCCTCCTGCACACTCCCTACTGTGTATGTGCCCACAACCAAGGTACATGTCCTTGACCAGAATCGAATCTGGGATCCTTGAGTTGGCAGGCCAATGCTCTATCCACTGAGCCAAACTGGTTAGGGCTACTTTTATTGATTTTAAAGAGGAAGGAAGAGGGAGAGATAGAAACATCAATGATGAGAGAGAATCATTGATTGGCTACCTCCTGCACGCCCCACATTGGGGATCGAGACCCAGGCATGTGCCCTTGATCAAAATCGAACCCGGGACCCTTCAGTTGGCAGGCTGATGCTGTATCCACTGAGCCAAACCGGCCAGGGATAGCATCCAATCTTAATTTCTGTAATTTCTCTAAGACCCAACCTCCTATGTAAAAGGAGAACATTACTCTTGTTTGTGGTGAGAAGTAATTTAATTCATACATGTAAATGCTTAGAAAATTGCTTGGCACCCGGTAAACATTTCTAAGTGTAAACTATTATTTGTTCATGTTAACCCCATGCCTCTGTCCCAAAATGACAGATAAGAAATGTTTTTGTCGTCCACGTGTCTTTTGCTTCAATAAACGCAGTAGCCAGTATGTTTGTTCAATAAACATACTAGTCATCTGACATTAAGAAAAAATTTTCTTTACACAGTACAGATTGGGAAAACTAAGGGCTTAAGTTTAAGGTCACACAGCACATTGAGGTCAGATACAGACCCAGAAACTAATCGTGATTGCCTATCTGGGATCAAAGCAGGCATTGGGAAAAAACACTGGTCTCGGGAGAGCCACACCTTTTCATCAGC